CCACGCAGTACAGAAGTACGCTAACAGAACCATCGAAAAATGCATCAAATGAGAGGCAGTGGATTGTGATGATGAGGGCGCGCCTAGATTTGAACTGAGGACCTGCTGATCTGCAGTCAGCCGCTCTACCACTGAGCTACACACCCTTGATGTGGTCCTTGAGCCGTATACTCGCACCACGCAGTACAGAAGTACGCTAACAGAACCATCGAAAAATGCATCAAATGAGAGGCAGAGGATTGTGATGATGAGGGCGCGCCCAGATTTGAACTGAGGACCTGCTGATCTGCAGTCAGCCGCTCTACCACTGAGCTACACACCCTTGATGTGGTCCTTGGGCTGTATACTCGCACCACAAAGTACAGAAGTACGCTAACAGAACCATCGAAAATGCATCAAATGAGAGGCAGACGATTGTGATGATGAGGGTGCGCCCAGATTTGAAGTGAGGACCTGCTGATCTGCAGTCAGCCGCTCTACCACTGAGCTACACACCCTTGATGTAGCCCCTGGGCCGTATACTCGCACCACGCAGGACAGAAGTAGACTAACACAACCATCGAAAAATGCATCAAAAGGGAGGCAGAGGATTGTGATAACGAGAGCGCGCCCAGATTTGAACTGAGGACCTGCTGATCTGCAGTCAGCCGCTCTACCACTGAGCTACACACCCTTGATGTGGTCCTTGGGCCGTATACTCGCACCACGCAGTACAGAAGTACACTAACACAACCATCGAAAAATGCATCAAAAGAGAGGCGGAGGATTGTGATGATGAGGGCGCGCCCAGATTTGAATTGAGGACCTGCTGATCTGCAGTCAGCCGCTCTACCGCTGAGCTACACACCCTTGATGTAGTTCTTGGGCCGTATACTCGCACCACGCAGTACAGAAGTACACTAACACAACCATCGAAAAATGCATCAAATGAGAGGCAGAGGATTGTGATGATGAGGGCGCGCCCAGATTTGAACTGAGGACCTGCTGATCTGCAGTCAGCCGCTCTACCGCTGAGCTACACACCCTTGATGTGGTCCTTGGGCCGTATACTCGCACCACAAAGTACAGAAGTACGCTAACAGAACCATCGAAAATGCATCAAATGAGAGGCAGACGATTGTGATGATGAGGTCGCGCCCAGATTTGAACTGAGGACCTGCTGATCTGCAGTCAGCCGCTCTACCACTGAGCTACACACCCTTGATGTAGCCCCTGGGCCGTATACTCGCACCACGCAGTACAGAAGTAGACTAACACAACTATCGAAAAATGCATCAAAAGGGAGGCAGAGGATTGTGATAATGAGGGCGCGCCCAGATTTGAACTGAGAACCTGCTGATCTGCAGTCAGCCGCTCTACCACTGAGCTACACATCCTTGATGTGGTCCTTGGGCCGTATACTCGCACCACGCAGTACAGAAGTACACTAACACAACCATCGAAAAATGCATCAAAAGAGAGGCGGAGGATTGTGATGATGAGGGCGCGCCCAGATTTGAATTGAGGACCTGCTGATCTGCAGTCAGCCGCTCTACTGCTGAGCTACACACCCTTGATGTAGTTCTTGGGCCGTATACTCGCACCACGCAGTACAGAAGTACACTAACACACCCATCGAAAAATGCATCAAAAGGGAGGCAGAGGATTGTGATGATGAGGGCGCGCCCAGATTTGAACTGAGGACCTGCTGATCTGCAGTCAGCCGCTCTACCACTGAGCTACACACCCTTGATGTGGTCCTTGGGCCGTACACTCGCACCACGCAGTACAGAAGTACACTAACACAACCATCGAAAAATGCATCAAAAGAGAGGCGGAGGATTGTGATGATGAGGGCGCGCCCAGATTTGAATTGAGGACCTGCTCATCTCCAGTCAGCCGCTCTACCGCTGAGCTACACACCCTTGATGTAGTTCTTGGGCCGTATACTCGCACCACGCAGTACAGAAGTACACTAACACAACCATCGAAAAATGCATCAAATGAGAGGCGGAGGATTGTGATGATGAGGGCGCGCCCAGATTTGAACTGAGGACCTGCTGATCTGCAGTCAGCCGCTCTACCACTGAGCTACACACCCTTGATGTGGTCGTTGGGCCGTATACTCGCACCACGCAGTACAGAAGTACACTAACACAACCATCGAAAAATGCATCAAAAGAGAGGCGGAGGATTGTGATGATGAGGGCGCGCCCAGATTTGAATTGAGGACCTGCTGATCTGCAGTCAGCCGCTCTACCGCTGAGCTACATACTCTTGATGTAGTTCTTGGGCCGTATACTCGCACCACGCAGTACAGAAGTACACTAACACAACCATCGAAAAATGCATCAAATGAGAGGCAGAGGATTGTGATGATGAGGGCGCGCTCAGATTTGAACTGAGGACCTGCTGATCTGCAGTCAGCCGCTCTACCACTGAGCTACACACCCTTGATGTGGTCCTTGGGCCGTATACTCGCACCACGCAGTACAGAAGTACACTAACACAACCATCGAAAAATGCATCAAAAGAGAGGCGGAGGATTGTGATGATGAGGGCGCGCCCAGATTTGAATTGAGGACCTGCTGATCTGCAGTCAGCCGCTCTACCACTGAGCTACACACCCTTGATGTGGTCCTTGGGCCGTATACTCGCACCACGCAGTACAGAAGTACACTAACACAACCATCGAAAAATGCATCAAATGAGAGGCTGAGGATTGTGATGATGAGGGCGCGCCCAGATTTGAACTGAGGACCTGCTGATCTGCAGTCAGCCGCTCTACCACTGAGCTACACACCCTTGATGTAGTTCTTGGGCCGTATACTCGCACCACGCAGTACAGAAGTACACTAACACAACCATCGAAAAGTGCATCAAAAGGGAGGCGGAGGATTGTGATAATGAGGGAGCGCCCAGATTTGAACTGAGGACCTGCTGATCTGCAGTCAGCCGCTCTACCGCTGAGCTACACACCCTTGATGTAGTTCTTGGGCCGTATACTCGCACCACGCAGTACAGAAGTACACTAACACAACCATCGAAAAATGCATCAAATGAGAGGCAGAGGATTGTGATGATGAGGGCGCGCCCAGATTTGAACTGAGGACCTGCTGATCTGCAGTCAGCCGCTCTACCACTGAGCTACACACCCTTGATATAGCCCCTGGGCCGTATACTCGCACCACGCAGTACAGAAGTACACTAACACAACCATCTTAAAATGCATCAAAAGGTAGGCAGAGGACTGTGATGATGAGGGCGCGCCCAGATTTGAACTGAGGACCTGCTGATCTGCAGTCAGCCGCTCTACCACTGAGCTACACACCCTTGGTGTGGTCCTTGGGCCGTATACTCGCACCACGCAGTACAGAAGTACACTAACACAGCCATCGAAAAATGCATTAGAAGAGAGGCGAAGGATTGTGATGATGAGGGCGCGCCCAGATTTGAACTGAGGACCTGCTGATCTGCAGTCAGCCGCTCTACCACTGAGCTACACACCCTTAATGTAGTTATTGGGCCGTATACTCGCACCACGCAGTGCATTCTCAGAATCTCACATCTGCACTGCAGAAGTACGCTAACCCGACCATCGAAAAATGGCACAAAAAAAGCCAGGGTACCATGATGATGAGAGCGTGCCCTCACGCGCCCTGAACCGAGGACCTGCTCATCGGCGAAGTGTAGACCGCAATTAGTTTTTTTCTTCTCTCTCCCGTGTTGGGTCCTCGGAAAGTAGGTGGTAAGGATGGAGGTTTGACATCTCAGGGGAAATGCCGATTTATCGGAGTGTCCAACTTCGGTATCGAGCAGATCGAAAACCTGGTTGAAGCCACTGGAGGAGAGTATCCAGCAGTTAACCAAGTAGTGGTTGCAGCAGAAAGAGCTTAGAAGGTAGCACCCGCATCGCGCCTCCGTCGCTCCGGTTTGGGATGGACCTCTGCGCAGTGCTGGTAGCCCACGCCCGCTTGGGGGACGTCTTCTCGGCTGGCGTGCCTCTCTGGCCATTTCGACCCGCAACTCGGTCCAGAATATATTGTGAATCGTGCGTTTCGATTATATACTCGCATCCAGCCCTTTGCGATGTATGTCTCTGCGTCCAATTTTTAGCTAATAGAGATGAAATAAACCGCCACATAATATGGTCAAATTCAAGTGTAGTCGGTGTCCTGGAAGCCCCGCTCAGCCAGACTGGTTATTACTGAGAATCGTCAAGCCCAGGTACTGTGATAAACACGGCATAGTGATCATGGGGTTCTGCCCGCTAGCACGATGCAAGATGTTCGGTTCTAAGGATAATCGGGTCGTCCAGGATGTAGCAGCCGCTCATGGAGTGCAGGAGGCTGATGTCTGCCTCCGTTGGGCACTGCAATCTGGTAGTAATTGGGCGGGGGCAATCGCCCTCAGCAAACCTCAGAGGCCCTCATTACCGCTAAATCGTTTTTATTCAATCAATGAACCCGTTCAATCATCGTACCCACATTGATTAATGTCATTACTCTCATCGCATCATCCCTCATCATAGATACAGTCTGGTCGAAGAATTTTGTCCACAGCTGATCTGGATCATTTAAGCTGTGACTCTTTTTCGACCGCACTGTATTGATGTATGATAATCTTGCATGATAATAGCGTTATCACCTATAGAACCCGTGTACTTGAGCCTCGGAGAGCGCGTCGTGCATTGTAAGTATGACCGTTAGGCCTCTGAGGAAACACCAAGCTCGGTCGCTCCCACCCGAAGTCGTGAGCAAAGTTCGGCAATTATCTGAAGCGCACGGATTGGAGTTAGCCCGGGAGACCCTGTTTTACAATAGAGACGTTATTCGCTTTTGGTATGCGTCTAGCTTGCCGCTGCAGTGGTACTGACGACGCAGCGGGAACATAATTACGCAGTGGTTACGACGAGACGGTTGGAGTTTTGGCCGTCTCAGGTATCGTTACGATCCCCAAGACAAGCAACCTTAAAAGAGTTGCTTCCAATATGACTACGATCAGCTCCTTCGAGCTCACTGATGACGAGATGGCAAGAATAGCGGAAGAGGCCGACATTGGATTCAAAGCCAGCAGCGCTTGCGAGGCAATGACTCTCGAATTTGCGAGATACAAGTGAAGCTCTCTTCTCTCCGTTCAACAACAGACTTTCGGTATCGTGTAAGCTCGTTGTGTTGCTGAGTGTGCCCTCAGAAGGATATCTGCAGAACATTCTGAAGAGCCGTTGCCATTCGTCCGCGCAATTCGCCAGGGCGGGCAATGTCTGTGTGTATCAATTTGATGACAGTGGAGGTGACGAACCCGAAAACCCTGTGGGACTCCGCCACGATGTGAGATAGCTTTCGGGGTTCTAGTGCTCCCCTTGCTTTCATGATGATCAAGCTTACTACTATCGGTATCATCGGATTTGTTTCACACCTGTCAGAGGTGGCGGCGCTGTTCTTTGAACTCAAGCCCCACGCTCAGGGTAGGTCTTTGCAGAGCCGAGCTCTCTACTCGTGAAGGTTCTAGTGGAGGGATTGAGCTAACAGTGTCCGTGCTCGACATGCTCTGAACCTTTAGTTGAATGCTTCGGCCTCCCGGAAGTGAATTCTGGCTCAGTCATTGAAGGGAGCTATGACAGTGTGGGGAGAAATGGCTACGAAGGTGAGCTAAGAAGTTCGAAGCAGCTGAGTAGGAAATCGACAGGATGCAGCCTCCTCTCAGGGATTGTGGCCACGGTGATGAGAGTAGATGGTGGAACCCCCAGTTCTGTATGGGAGGGCCACGACCCCAAGGGTCGTCTAGCGGTTCCCGTCGGTGAGTCTACGCGCGCGTATTGTCGAATTTGTACAATGCTCAATGCGAGGTTGGTAACGTACTATCCAATGCTGCCAGGCCAGCCAGGAACGTACAAGCTGTGTTTTGCCTCGAGGACGAAGAGCGTTCAGACAGTTAGTTTCAGTCTTCGAATAGAGAAGGTAATCCGGTCACCTAATCGCAAGTCAACGCGCGTCTCGGATTTTTTCGCTAGAAAAACACCTCCGGCGGGGCTCGAACCCACGACCACGGCCTTAAAAGGGCCGCGCTCTACCGACTGAGCTACGGAGGCTGATAATAATTGTGTACATGTTACCCCAGCCCAGCCCAATGGGCTTCCAATGCAACTCAAATCCATAGCACTCACCACTAGGGGGTCGAAGGGCCCAGGCTTCTATTACAGCTTTTATTTCCAGAAATCCGATAGCCAGAATGGGTCACGAGGAGGGGACCAAGCGGCGACCACCGATCATACCAATGAACTGAAGTACCTCGTGGAGATACTGAAGAGCAAGGTGCGACAGTAAATAGGTATTAAAGTGGGTCTTCATAATCACCGTGCACAGGTCGATACTCTGATGGATCAGCAGCGTTATAGCGTTGCGAGAGAGGCGGTGCATCGCAGTAAGCTGCGCATTGCTGCTTGCTATCCTGTTGAGATTGTTTTTGCCGAACATGACAGATACAGCAGAGTCGACGAACTCTCGAGTTCTTTGGTGGACAGTAGCACATCTGTGCAGTGTGCTGATCTTGGTGGCTTTGCAATTGCACTACATGCGGGCCTTCTTGGAGATCAAGCAGATCATTTGAGCATGCTCCTTGTAGACGGATATGATTCTCAACTTGACGACGCTGGCTTGTGTTTGTTTCGGACCCTAGGATGTGTCATGCCGAGGACTAACCTCTCGGAACACACAGGAATGTTCCGGAGACACACTGTGGATCCATAGGAAGCTCGCAGCGACTTCTGCATCAACGAAGACGCGCTACTGAAGATGCATTTCATGATAGTGTTAGTGCATAGTGTTCAGTAAGCGATACTGCCCGCATCCTTCGTCAGTGGGCCAGACCATACTGCTGAGCTGTTGCACGCATGGGGGTTTTCCACCGTTCTCGTTGTAGCCTATGTTCGCCCATTGGCTGACGAAAACGCGACACCAACCCGTGCAATGGCCATCCCAGGGTATTCCGACAGCTGACACGTGCGTTTCGATTCGAACTTTTGGAAAAACTATACTTGCGGAATGAATAATTTGGGAAGTTGTCAGGAGCGTCAATGGTACGTCCGCAGAAATATTTTGGCCAGCGTGAAATAGCTTTTCCGATCCCTCTGCTTGCCGGCTTGGGTGGAAGAAGTCTCCTTGATATCACATCCGCGGGCGCAGACAGAAATCTTATCCCGATCCTCCTGATGCTGGTCATGAGACTAGAGAGCTTCCTGCGCTCAGGCCTGAGCCAACGTCCCAAAGTAACCGCAT